TCTTCTCTGAAGTAAGACAGTAAATTCAAACCTCTTGAAAGGAAGGATGTGGTGACTTCATGTTTGTGAAGTCAGAAAAGCTTTAAAAACAATTTTTTTTTATTACGGAAACTTTCAAAACTACACCAAAGCAGGGAGATCAGTATGCAGAAACCCCATCCACCCATCACCCAGCTTCACCCATTTTCAACAGTTTGCTAGGCTGACTTCTTTAGGGCAACATCTTGAGTACAAATATTCTGGGGTTTTTTTTCTTGTTAAATCCCTCAGCGACGCAGAGCCTGCTGCTAACAAGGCCCCTTCTGCATTTGATCCAGCAGAGGCTCATCTTTTCTTGTTCCGTAACCACAGGGTGACTTTGAGGACCCCAGTTTTATAGTTATACAGGGCAAAACTTCATGCATAATCTTTGTGCTTACATAGGCTTTAATGTCTTCCCTTCAAATACATGAACAGTATAATATTCAAGTCTCCCACTTCCCAGAGAATGCCATGCGACCAAACGAGGAAGGGTCCGTTTGTCCTTTGCCCTTAACGTATGGTAGGCCCAGAAAAAACGTGCCCGTAGGCATCAAAAAGTAATGATTTGTGACAAGGCTAGACCTGGCAACACAGAACGAGGCAGACTATCCGTGTAAAACACATTAAATTTCATGTTAGTGAGATCTGGTTTGAAAACTCTTAAAAAGTGGGAGGGCCCAGTTCTACAGCCTGAGTAATAGAAAATGTATAAAATAATGGGCCTCTGCAGTTCACTCTGCCGACATGTTTCCAGAGCCAGTGGTTCAGGGCAAGGGGGACTGTTAACACTGTTGATTCTGTGTTGATGTCCAAGTGGGTTTTTCCAAATCTCTCACAACTGAGGTTTTGGTAAAGGTGGGAGAGTAGACGGTTTGAGATTGTATCTCTGGTGAGAACCTGGAGTACAGATATCCTGGGTTCTGAGCGAAAGACAAAATTTTGTGCTCAGCCTATTGAGAAAGGATAGCTCTCACTTACTTGCCAGAATGGACGCCCACCCCCACCTCCCATACATGGAGCTGGCCGAGATGTTGGCCAAAGGCGAGATCAGAAATTTCTAGAAAGACTTCTTGGCCATACTAAAACCCTAACCCCAAAGCCTCTCTGTCATATGCTTTGTACACTGGGAACATTTTGATTATATCTTTTTATCATTATGACACAGTATTTCCCCCTTCCAATGACATTTTCCTTTATTAAATAACTTTTTAACCACTTTATAATTGAAATGAACTTTTGTTTCATTTCTTCATTATTAAAAGGCATGTGTCTGCCATCATTTCATGTTTGTTTAATTGATTCAGAAGTACGAGAGAAACTGGTTTTTAATACAACTACGCATAATGCCTTAGTGCATGGTTTTACAGGTCGAGTGGCTTGTTTGAATCATGTTTATAAATTTTATGAGCATAGCATTGACTACACACACATTTTGATTTCCCAAAATCAACAGAAAAGCTCTCAGATTGTCCCAGGTGCCATTCAGTGGGTGCATTCGCTTACCAGGGCTTCTCCTCACCCTGAAAAATCCATTAACATGTAAAATCTTTTACACTTTAATTTGCGCTAAACATTTTCATATTTCAAACAAACAAATCAAATTATCCTGTAACCTGCTCCGTTGAAAAGAGTGTGGTATGCCTCATTGTTTCCGTAAAGCTTATTATGTCATTGACATTTTTCTTCTGGAAAGTGTCAGCTTTGTTCCTGCCAACACAGAGCACCGTGAAAGTGGGCACAGTGTAACTTCCTGCAGCAAGCCCACTTACGTGGCTTTAAAGGCAGGTTTAATTGGAAGAAAAGAACCACCTTTTCGGTAATGATGCAACTTAACACAGCAGAGCTGAGAGGCAAGGCATAATTTTGCAGAATAAACAGTTTAACTGTTCCATTTGGGTTTTGGGGGGGTGGGTTTGGAGTTTTTGACCCAACGTTGGACATTTTGTTCTTTAATTATCTTGGGCTTTTCTCAGGAATAAACTAAAAGTTGTGATTTGTGTTTGTGTCAGATTTGAAGGGTTCTGAATAAAGAAGCCACAACTTAAAAGAAAGTTCCTGCCTGTGCTTATTAATTGTGGTCATTTTCACATAGTCCTTATGTCAAGTTCTGAGGTTAGAGCTCTAATGGTCTAATAAATTTCTAGAATATGAGACCAGGCACAGCTGCCAATATAAACTGTCATTTTCTTTTCATCTAGTACAGTTTAACTTTTTTGAAAGTGGAATATTATTTGGTTTCTCTTCAGTTTTTTAAGCTGATTTTTAATAGGTAATAAAAGTCATTTCTAGACATACTGCTTTTTCCTATTAACCTTAGAAAGATCACATGTGGCACATCTTTTGTTAAACTATGAGCAAATTTGAAAAGTGGCACTTTTTTGAAAAGCAAATGTAATTTCACTTCTATGTTGATAATACTGATAAAATATGGTAGGCTTAATAGTTCCCTCACCATGTGGAGTGTGGAAGAAGGATCAGACCTCATTCTGTTACCTGTCGCCTTAGAGACTGTTAGCTCGATTGCTGGAACACTAACTTCTTCTCTCTGTACTCACTTCCCCAAGGAAGTGTACCTGTGAGCACCTCTGTGGGAGACCCCTCGCCACTGTTCAGACCCACCTTCCCAGCACGATTGGTCCTCTTGGAAATCCCACTAGCCCCTTCAACTCGACTTGTCAAAAACCAAACTGCCCCCACTGCTCTGACTTGCTTCTTGTCACTCCATCAGCTCATGGTGTCACTATTGTCAGGTCATTCCCTGTCAAAGCTTTGTGCTATCTCTCAGTCCCTCTTCTGGCTCTGGCCATGCGGAGCCGTATGAAGTGTCAGTGTCTTGCTGGTGTCTTCGCTATTATCAATAACAACGGGAGTGATCGACTTAGTGGATTTTATTTTTAACCCCCAGTGCAATCCTGTGCAGCAGGTATTATTTCATCTCCAGTAGAGAGGACATAATTGAGGCTAAACAGCTTGCTCAGGTCCACGTGGCCAGGAGTAGGGCACTGCACTGGAATTTTAACACACTTACTTCAAATTCAGTACCTCTGTGCTACTTCACGCTACCGCTCTGCCTGTTTTCTCTTTTCTTTGCCTGGGAACTGCCACACTTGCTCTGCTCAGTGGTGGAAGCTCCCTGACCTATCCCGAGAGCTACGGATGGACGCCTCTGGGCTTTACACCTGGTGTTTAAGAGAATTCATTTTCCTGTCTGTGAGACGGGGAGCAGCTAGAGCTCGGGGCTTTCTTCTCTTCGCATCTGCAAGTCCTGTGCCAAGCCAACTCAGTGCCTGGCACACTCTTGACACTGAATTCAGGTTTGTGGAAGGAACTAATAAATATTTGAGCTACATTCCCTGAGGAAATGGACTTCAATCGTCAGGGCTTCCAACTGTCTTTAAAATGGCACATTAAACTAAAGGTGATGGTGTTTCTCGAAATACAGAAACTACAAACATATATTCTAAATATCTCTATCTATACACACATATT